TATGGAGGGCAGCACAAGTTAACAGTTAGACATTCCTGAGATGTATGTCTTTGGCTCTTAGTGAAGTCTCAACATTCGGAACAAAAAGAGTATAATAATATAAGAATTGAGTGTGTGTTATAAACAGGATCTTAGGATTATATATGCATATATAATAGGCCTCAACTTTAACCAAGTTAGTGTTATTGTTTTCAGATGACCAGTTCAAAAGGTTGTGATAGATTCTTAACAATTGCATTACATATTCTCTTTGAGCATTTTAATGCCCACAAAAACAGTTTTTTAAGACTAACATAAAAGTCAAAACATCCTGGATGATAGGAAAGAGAGTTTTTATCATTAGCAATATTATTTGGTTGTAAATCATAAAACACATTTGACAAAAATCAATGTGTTTTTTTTTTTGTTTTTTTTTTAGCAAAAATAAGAAAAAAAAAGGAAAGAAAATAAGAAAAAAATCAATTACACTTCATCCAAAATCTTAAACAATCTGAAATCTATTTCGAAAAGAGCTGAAGATTCTTGCTGCAAATACTACAAAGAGTTATAACCACAGTGATAATTAGAGCCTTTGCTCGTTTGGAACTTGTTCTGTTTGCTTGATGCAGCTGTCTACCCAGACTGTTGTCTGGCTGTAACAGGGACAAAGCTGGTGGCACCTTCCCCTTTTTGCCCCTACTCTATTGGCTTTTCCTTGGGTGGCTGTTGATGCACCTGCTTGAATGTTGATGGTCGGCTCTTGGGGAGTTCTGCAGGTGCCTTGCCATGGATCGAGTTTGTCCTCATCAGGGACCTTTACTGCTGTTTTCCATTGTGAGGAGTAACTTCATCACGATCCCATCTCTTCAGCCTTGGTGTAAGACATAATAGTTTTTTTTCAGCAGGCTTTTGTTATGGCTTTCTTTCCACTGTAGTGGCTAATAAGAGAAGCACAAGCGGCTGTGGGCCAGAGCGTCAAGCCGGGTCAGTCCCCAATCGGAAAGGTTGTTGGTCGGATTCCCGGGCTCCTCCTGCATGTTGTCTGAAGTATCCTTGAGCAAGATACTGAACCCAAAATTGCTCCTGATGCACAGCATCTGTTCAATGGACTTTGCCATCATTGTGTGAATGTGTGTGAAAGGGTGAATGTGGCACGTAGTGTAAAAGCGCTTTGAATGGGCATTTCAGCTTCCTATTGACCGATATCAGGGAGTTTACCAATGCCAGTGTTTAGTGGTCTCCCAAACAGGATTTCAAATAGGCTTCTTACTCTGGCCCATGTTTACATTAGTTTAGTACATTTATTAGAACAATCAGTAGTGTGTGCAGTGTGTTACTTTACCGTAATAGTAGAAAAGTTCTATTGTATGGCACTAGGGCCTTTCACGTTTTCCCAAGTTTCGCAGGCACAGTAGCTTCTCCTGCACACCTGCACACTCCTGCAACTTCAGCACTTGCTGCCACTAAATCCTACACACAGGACCTATAAAGGCAGGTTTGGATGCTACAAAACAAACCTGCAGCATGAACACATTTTCTGCAATGACTAATGGTGATTGACAGTTTGATTATTACCCAGTTTTAGATAGTGTTTCCAATTTAATCTTTCAGTACAAATGCTCAGTGAACAGTATTTGTTTGCCACACACACCCTGCTACAAGCCATTGGTCTTTTTTCAGTAGTGATGATTAATGGACAAATTGAAACATGAATAATCCCTGCAGCTCAACAACTCTATTGTTGACTCTCATTCCCAGGTCATCAAATAGCAACATTAAGGGTTAGCAGCTGATCAACTATCTTTCTTTGCTCTTATTGGCTTTTTTTCATCCAGCCATTTTTTTCACTGCAACTTTTGTTTTAATTTATTTTAATAAATAAATTCATATTTAATAATACATTTTAATTTCCCTTGGGACGGCAGAGTTTAGAGGGAGTTGCAATCTGCAACTACACCGCTAGATGCCACTAAGTCCTGCATACTGGACCTGTAACCAGTTTATAATATCAGAAAATGGTTGTTGAATCTCAACTAATAAGCTGTTGAAATGTTAGAAATGCTTTATAAACTACTTGTACGTCGACTTTACCAATAAAGTATTACTAAAGAGCAGTTTATGTTTTGATGCTGCTCAGTTACAGAATAGTTACAAATATGGTACCAAAGTACTTGATTAATTTTTCTCAGCCTTAGACTAGTTACTCAAATTCTTTATTTATTACTCCTTAATCATTACTTTTTTCAAAAGGAATATTTTACATTTTGTATTACTCTCTGCCAACAGTAATTAGTTACACTACTAGTTATATTACTGTTCTGCTACTTTCACGCAAAATTGTTAATTGTGCCACTTCTCCCCAAAATTCAGACTTATGACAATTAGAATCCAGTTTTGTTTGTTAAACTCAAAGTAATGGAATATTTCCAGCTGTTGAGTGTATGTGTTTACATCTTTAAAGCAAATTTCTGAAAAAATATTGTAACTAATATTAATTAATGTAATAATGGAATATTATTACTTAAAAAGTATTTGTAATTTGGACCTCAAAGGTTTGCTGCATGTCGTCCCCCCTCTCTCTGCCCCCCTTTCCTGTCTCTCTTCAGCTATCTCTGTCAAATAAAGGCATAAAAGGCCAAAAAAAATACTAAAAAAAAGTATTTGTAGTAGTTAGACTACTAGTTACTTGAGAAAGTAATATTACTACCAGCAAATAGTTACTGACCAACACTGCTCATTAGACAATCATAGCTACTTTAAAAGAGGTAGCCTGACTGACTTCCTTTCAACAGCCTTATGGTTCATAATACATTTCTCTACAGGGCATCAGTTCAGTGGATCAGTGCGCACACACTCTATATAGTATATCACAACATGTTTAAAGTGGCCTTTAATATATATGCCTTTTCAAGTAGCATTATATTCAAAGCTAATTTTACTTTTAAAGAACAGAAAAGAGCATCTGCTACTTATATGTTGACTATATTGTCTTTGCTTGTCTGTCGTTTTATTGTTGTTTTGTGTTCTTTTTTTTTAATCAATGACTTCCAAATTGATACAGTGAAGAGTGTGAAACTTATGAAGATAATAGTCATTCTTAAAGTATAAGAAATAAAGTTCTCTCATTGGGATAACTTCTTGTCATTGGAATAGTAATGAAAATAAAATGTTGCCCCTTTCTCAGGGGGGTCCCCTGGAACCCCCTCAGTGGACCCTATCCCTATTCTGTCTTTATCTTGATAATTTTTATTATTGTCTGTAATCTGCAGTGCAATGATTTTTTTTAAACTGTCAAATAAATGTAATCAATCAAACTTTGATGACGTGTTGGAGAAGATCATTCAATTCAGTCTCATAGTGTTTTTGTCATCCTCTTATCAAAGTTGTAAAGACTGACAAATGCATCATTTGCAGACTCTATGGAGCTTGCATAGTAAGTTTGTAGGGCTGACCAGCTCTGCAAATAGCTTGCTTGGAACAATAATGTGTCTGCCAGTTTTTTTGCACATAGAAAAGTGTAATTTCCTCATTAAAATCCTTAAAAAGGGCTTCTACCTCAATAAAGATTTCACAAATTTTCTTAATTTCTTAAGTTTCCTACTACAAGGGGTCTCCTACTACTGTAGAACAAGGAGAAAGTTTGGGGAATTTAATATATATTCAATTCAATTTAATTCAATTTTATTTGTAAAGCGCCAATTCATAACAAGTTATATCAGGACACTTTAAGTAATGGTTTCGCTCTGTGCGCATGCGCTTGCAGACCAGAACAATAGAGCGACGGTCTCACATTAAAGAACTACTGAATAAAGCAGAGATAGCTACAGTTATAGTGCACAACTGTATAGTAGCCACATGTTCAAACAGTAGTATCTGCCTCAAATATAAACATACATATCTAAAGTTAGATAGCGACACTGGTACCAGACCAAACAATCCGAATCCCGATATGATCGACCGCCATTGGGCCAGTGGAGCACGCAGCACACACACACACAGACAGACAGCGTGTCAGGTTGAACACAGCGGATGATGAGTTTTGTAAGCTCCAGATAACCTGCAGCCACACCACAATGACAGACTACGCCGAGGAGCAGAGGAATGAACTAGAAGCTATAGAGTCAATCTACCCAGACTCCTTCACAGGTCTGAATTCCATCGTTTGTAGACGGCAGTGACAGAGAGCTAGCTCACAACACGTTAGCTAGCTGACTGGTTTTTACTAAAGCATGAATCAGACAGAGCTAGCACAAACTGTTGCTAGGTACAGCTAACTGTTGCCTTTGGCACCCAGTGGTGCACACTCATTGTGGCTGTTATCGAGTTAAATGTCAGACAGTGATTGACAAGCTGCTACAGTGGGCCCTTTACAGTGTCTTACTGTGTCTCACAGTGGGCCCTTTACAGTGTCTCACAGTGACAGAAACGTACACCAAACTCCATTCAGAATCTGTATAATTCGTCCCATATTTAAGAGCACCATGTAAAATGGACATGTACATAATGCATGTGTATTTGTAGGTATTTTGGGGGCTCCTCTTAGATTTGGCATATATCAAATCTTATGTAACTTTAGACTTCATTCTACTGTAGCTGTAGGTCATTGAGTGTCATATATGACAAACATAATAATTCATATAAAGCTGTTATTTTTCTCAAAGTGATCTTCTATACCTTATGACAATCTTGACAGCATTAAAGATTTTGTTGATGGCTGATGGCCGCTTCCTCAGGGCCATCACATCTATTATATGGCACACAACCTGTTGATGAAGATGTAGAGATGCTTGTACTGACCACTATGTGTTTGTAGTGCTTTCAGATGATCCCACCAGCTTCACCATCACTGTAACATCAGATGCAGGGGAAAATGATGAAAGTGAGTATACAGACGTGTGGCTGCAAAATGTCATGTATTGCCCTCATGGCACACATTGTTATGAAATCACACTTTTTTATAATGAAACTTGTAAGTGATTTTAAAGGAGATTCATTCAGTCAGTCATGGTGATAAAGGCAGTGATTTAATAATAATATGGTGGGAGAGAAACAGTGAGTGTGATCACAATAACTGGCCAGAGTTGATATGAGTTGTGTAAGCTGTATGGTAAACGCCCTTCAAAAGCTAAGCTAAAGTAGACTGTCATGTGTTTTCTTCTTGCAGCCGTGGAAGCAACATTAAAGTTCACATATGTAGAGAAATACCCCGATGAGCCTCCACTGTGGGAGATCCACTGCCAGGAGAACCTGGAGGACAGTGACGTGGAGGAAGTCCTCACCTTACTGCAGCAACAGGTCGGTCTGTCTGAAATGAATATGATCTCCTTCATTTCTATTAGTCCCTGGCCTGATCCATGTGCCCTGTCCACTGTCTGTCTGTAAGACTGTGGTCTGTCTACCATTAGTTCACTGTGTTGTTTTGGTCACTTTTGCTTTAAACCAATACTTCAAGGAGTCAAGGAAATGTATTTATCATTGTACTCTCTAGAATGTTAGAGATGCAACTTTAAGCAAGTGTGAAGCTATGGATGCACACTTGTTTTTTAAAATTTTTTGGTGCGGCGTCGGGAGACCCACTCAACCACGGCTCCATTGTTTACACCCGGGATCAGCTGTTAGCCCTGTGCCACACACCCCTTCACTGCGCGGAGCGGCTGGAGATCCCCAAGGAGATACGGCGAAGGAGAAGAGGATGCAGAGTGGGAGTAAAGCGCAGACAGCGGAAAAGACGGTATAAACCATGTTTACCGTCTGTCATCATGGGGAACGTAAGATCTCTCCCCAACAAGATGGAAGAACTAACGGCGTTAATCCGGCTGCAGAAGGAGAACCGTGAATGCAGCCTCATGTGCTACACAGACACGTGGCTGAGTGAACTTTCTCCTCTCCGACCCACGTCCAACCTCTTGGAGACGGATTCCAAGTTGTAGCGGGCGGACAGGAAAGCAACAGAGAGCGGTAAAAGAACGACACGCGGCGCCAGGAAGGAATCGCTTGTGTGTTAAAATAAATATAAATATGATATACCAATAACCAGTGTGGCACACACAAAATGTGCAAGTACATTCTAACTAAGTTGCTATTAAAGTAGAAATTTTTTATGTACTTTTGACTTTTCTGCTTGTACTCCACTATTAGTCGTCGGACTCACCAATTGACAAGGCATCTCGTTCACTCAATGTTTCAGATTCTTACCAAACAAAAGACAAAATAATCAGCAAACATGAATCCATATGAGAATGATCGATTAGTTAGCAAGTGGAATCGCTTGTGTTTGTGAAATGAACAGATCGTGCCCACCGAGCACGAACATCAGTGTTAAAGGAGCAACTCTTGCACCCACAGAAGACTAGCTGTTTTGCCGTACTACTTGCGAAACGAAGAGTTATGTTATCACATGTTTACAGCCATGACTGTTAAACTGTGTAGGCATTCCTCCGTGCGTTGCCCGTCGCTTGCTCAGCAGCTACAGATCAGATCACACTGTCATCTCCCAGCTTTTCCAAAACCAGCACCCCCCCACATCCCTCCACGGTGCCTCATCTTTTCCGCGTGATCGCTAATGCTTCCTGTCTCTGCTCCTCGCCCACCGTACGCAAGGGACAATAAATTTTCATTCAATCCCTCAGTCCAACTTTTTACTTTGTTAAGCCTTTAACAAACAAAAAGTTGACCAAAGTGCTGGTTACAGGAGAATAATAAACACACTAAATAAAAGACATAACAAGCTCCCATTGAAGGTCAAAAATTACATATAAATATACACAATAAATGAAAGACATAAAACAAAATGAGTACAATAATAGCCCACGCAAATAAAAAGCAATCAAAAATAAGAAATTAAAATCAGTAAATAAAGTCGACATTCCTTACTAGGTTTGTCAAAAGGCCACCCGAGAAGAAGAATGGGTTGTTAAGAAGGGATTTTAAACAACAGCAACCAGAGAAGAAGGCCTGTTTTACGACGTGCACAGAGGCAGATCATTCCATAAGTTCAGGAGCAGAACAGCAAGCCAAAGGCACAGTCCCCCTCTGAAGCTTCCGCTTAGTTAGGCAGCGACTCAAGGAGAGCAGCTTGATCAATCTGACATGAAGAGAGCCAGACGGGTGTTATATAGGGGTGTTAGAAGCCTCGAGAGGTAGGGGCGGGCAAGACGCATTCAAAGGGAGATTTAAAAGAAATAAAAGAAATTTTTAAAAATGGATCGCTACAATGGAAATAGGCAGCCAGTGGAGTTGAAGGCTTAAAATGGGGGAAAATGTTTGCTGCCATGTTTTGACAATGTTGCCAGTTTAAAAGACCGTGCAGCCAGCATTCTTACCATCTGGAGACGAGCGATGGAAGGACGCCACTAACCCCGCACATACGTGCATTAACAGTAATCAAGGAGTGGAACAAAAGGCGTGGAATTAACGTCTCAAAGGGCTTGCCTTTGAATAATAAATTGGCTTTATTTTTTGGCCAGCTTGCCTGCAGAATGGAAAAAGTGATTTGACCCACAGCCTTGAAATCTGCTGTCAGAATCAAGCTCAGGGTCCACTTTAACCCCCTAGGTTTTGTGATGCTAGGGTAACCTTGGACTTGTTTTGTTATGCACATCAAGGAATGCAATCCAGAGTTGGCTACAGTGATTTTTCTTAAGCCAACAAACCCGGTTTGACCTGGGGGCCCTTCTGTGAATGAGCAAGAAGAGAGTTCTTCAAGATCGGGGGGGGACAAGTTGA